TATATATATATATATATAATTTATTTGTATTATTATATATAATCTATATAATAATACTTAATTTTTTGTAATCTAATAAAAAAGGCTGTATGTATGCATATTCCAAGATAACTCTGGAACATCTCGAACAATTTCAACCAAACTTGGTACACAGATGACTTACTCTTTGGAAACAAATACTGTGGGGGTAAGATACCCCTAAAACCTCTCGGGGTGTCTGTCCTGTTAATATACAGCCTGTAGTGCCTTAAAGTGGCTTCTACCATACCGTTGTAAAATGGCTTCTACTGTGCAGCGCAGTAGAGTTGCCATGGTAACAGCTTCGCCGTACTCCTAAAGGGGGCTCCCTCTGGTAAGGGGTAAATCCAACATTAGAAATTATGTTTGGTGCGGACATTCCCCCCCCCCTATAAATAAATACCCAGGCAACATCGGGTTATCGGCTAATAATAAATAAATAAAAAATTAGTATTGATAGTATCAAGACTTAATTGTACCATTGAAGAACAAATAGTCAAATCTTGTTTATCTGTTTGATTGCTTATTCAAAGCATTTTCCCCTGCTTTTCACCTTAAACATTTCATATGTAAACATTACATATTGTTATATGATTTTTAAAGATGTTTGAGTACTTTAGGTTCAAACAAAATTACTGCTTGAATATTCAACCATTATCCTTTTTTTGTTTTTTTGCTTTAATACTGTATTTATATTTTCTGTCCATTTGTAATGAAACTTTTTTAGTTTAAAGCCTAAAGAATTCCATTTTTTTTTTTTTTTTGAGCCTGCTAGAAAGCACGGTGGGGAAGAAATGCTCGATCCGACTTCAGGATTTAGTGGCAGCTTCTAAAAATACTTTACTCCATCTCTCCTTTCTAGGTTGCTGCTCTCAACCCAAACATGTGGCCAGAAAGTGTCTCGTTTTTGACGCAAGCACTGTCGTGCGGGTAGAGTAACTCCAAGGCAATTTGCATTTCGGAAAAGAAAATGCCAAAGAAAAAGAAAAATCTTGGCGTGAGCCCATCGAGAAAAAACACAAATCCAGAGACGATTTGTGCTACCAATGCCTCGTCCTCACCAGCTTCGCTACATGAGATCAATAAAGAAAAACTTTTCAGCGGACTTTCCGAAATGTTCTCGGACCTGGATCCGACTGTCATCTACATGATGCTGTCTGAATGTGATTTCAGAGGTAAATCAAATCAATGTCTGTCAATCTTGTCCTTTTCCGACAGCAAAAGCCAGCTTAAAGTCAATATTTCACTCCTTCCCACTCACTTTATAAAGGGGCTAAAAAAAATTAGGATGTTGACATTTGTGTTTGTTCCATCCCCAGGAAATACAGGTAGTCCTCAACTTAACGGCCACAATTGAGCCTGAAATCTGTGTTGCTAAGTGAGAATTTCTTAAGTGTCCTTTGCCCCATTTCATGACATTTCCTGCCACCGTTGTTAAGCGAATCACTGCCGTTGATAAGTTAGTAGCCCCAGTCGCTAAGCAAATCTGGCTTCTCTGTTGACTTTGCTTGCCCAAAGGTTGCAACGGGATCACATAACCCCAGGGACACTGCAGCCGTCATAAGTATGAATCAGTGGCCAAGCGTCTGAATTTTGACCGCATGATCGTGGGGATGCGGCAAAGTTTGTAACTGAAAAACAGTCGCAAGTCACCTTTTTTTCAGTGCTGTTGTAACTTTGAACGGTCGTTAAAAGAACTGTTGTAAGTCGAGGACTACCTGTATTTCATTGAGTCACTGGGACCTCTTCGATCTCTTTGGGTTTGGGGTTTCTTTGCATTTTTTTTTTGCATTTTTCTGTCTATTTGCCTTCTGCTTTTGAACTTTCAGCCAAGCCAATGCCTTGTCTAAGGAGACCTCAGGAATTAGTTGATGGAGAAAGGGAGCTTAGCCTCCAACCTGTTCTGACCGAGGCTTCCCAAGAGCATGAAGCAAACTCCTTGTCCCCGACAAAAAAACCTTTTATTAATTGACAATGAATTCTGCTCATTCACATCCAGCAAAGTCTTTCGAGGGAGGATTTACAGTCACAGACCTCATCTGGCTTGGAGAGCTGCCAGGCCGAGATCTGCAAAACTTGGCAAGGAGTCTCAGAGAGTCACTAACCAATTAAGTGAACGAATTGTCTCCTGCAAACTCCACTCCCCTTTTGCTCCTCTTTTATTTCCTCTGGGAGGGGCCATTCATCCTCCACCTGTGGCCTTAGTCTCAAGTCCACCCTTGTCCTTTAGCTGCTCCCTTTGTCTGGCAACTCTGCACATGTGCACACTGGGAACAGGCTCCAGCTGTTCTTCTGCCCCAGTGATCTCTGACTCTGAAGGCAGCTGATAACACAAGGAATTTGTCTTTGTGCATATGCTCTCAGTGTACATAAGGAGAATAAAATACATTCATCAAGAATCATAAGATACAACACTTAGTGATAGTCAAGATTACTAATAAGCTATCAAATCATACTTATAAACAAATAAAACAATATAAATCGTAAAGATAGAAGCAACATGGTTATAGTCATAAGTGGGAAGAGATAGGCACTAGGAAGGAAGAGAAGAATAATAGTAATACAGTCTTAGTAGATAATTTGACAGTGTTGTGGGATTTATTTGTTTCACAGAGTGATGGCATTCGGGAAAATACTGTCCTTGTGTCTAGTTGTTCTGGTGTGCAGTGCTCTGCAGCATGGTTTTGAGGGTAGGAGTTGAAACGATTTATGTCCAGGATGTGAGGGGTGTGTGCATATTTTCATGGCCCTCTTTTTGACTCGTGAACTGTGCAGGTCCTCCATGGAAGGCAGGTTGGATTGTTTTTTTCTGCAGTTCTAATTATCCGTTGAAGTCTGTGTCTGTCTTGTTGGGTTGCAAAGGCAAACCAGACATAAGAACTCTTCCCAATGACATCATAGAATCCACATTTTTAATGCATTTATTTATTTATTTATTTATTTATTTATTTATATCAAATTTCTATGCCATGTTTCCCTGGAAATAAGACAGGGTCTTATTTTCTTTTGACCTCCCCGAAATAAGCACTTGGCCTTATTTTCGGGGAGGTCTTATTATTTTTGAGGTGCAGGGGGCGGCGAGCATGGTCATTGGCAATATTTCCGGGGAGGTCTTATTTTCAGGGAAACAGGATATTGCCCATCTCAACTTGAGTGACTCTGGCCAGTTTACAATAAAACAAGATTTTCAGTGCAATGTAAAAGTATTGCATTACTCTATTTACCTTGCTTTGTTTGTTAAAAGGACATTTTAGCTCTCTTTGTTTTTATTTATTTATTAAATACGCATGAATATTTGACAAGTTGTTAACTTAATATAATAGTTACGATTTTCTTTTCAAGTTGCACCTAACAGATGGTTTTGCGCCCATAACTCAAAATTCATGTTTAAATGTAGACACAATATTTGGATCCAGCATTTAAAAAAAAAACAAAAAAAACTTGCTTGCAGTTCTCCCTGCTAGTTCAAGGCCCTGCTCTTTGGCCCCCTAGGTAGCGTCCTTTAACCAGTCTTTTTTTTTTTTTGAAGAGAGGGCAAAGGTCACTGCAAGAGGGACCGAGACCCAGGTAATCTTCAAAATGAAAATTCACTGCCTCATTTATTTCTGCAGTGCTGCTGAAGTTGAGGTTCAGAATATGGGAATAAGTTTAGTAAAGTAATTGTGTCCTTTCTTCTGTTTTTACTAGTGGAAGAGACTATGGATTATCTACTGGAATTGTCCACAGCGGCTAAGGATACAGTCTGTCCATCCAAAGCCTCAGGTTTTGATTCCCTGTCCGCGCTGCTAGTTGGTGAAAATAACTCAAGCCGTAGTACTCACGAACTTGAGGGCAACGATACTACTGCAATTGCGAAGCCTGGCAAAGAATCGCAGCATCCCTCATCCTCTGAAGAACTGGCACCCTTGATAGAGAATTCTCTTGAGGGGGGCAGTCGAAAAAGTGAAGCAGAGGAGTCAGAAAAGGATCGTCTCTCAGGTAGCCTGACTCTGGCTTGGGACCACAACAATTCCAATTGCACCGAATTAGGTATCGAATCCAGTGGAACAGCAATAGAAAACTGGTTCCCGGCCTTGAAACCAAGTTATAATGAAGCTGCTGAGTCGACGTCCATATCAGAGATTGAGACGAAGGATATTTTGACCCAAACCCCAGAGAATTGCAGTTTGCCAGAAGTTGTACTTGATAGCGGTGCCGTTTCGGAAATGGTGACATTAGCCGACAAGGGAGAGTCTTACACTGAGCCACACCAAATGCACAATGTCTTATTTGACTTTAAGGCAGTAAGCACCCTCACCACTCAACACCATCAGGTTTTTGCAACAATAGAGACGAATGCCTTCTCTAGTTCTCACGCGTCTTCTCGGGCGGCTGAGGGGCAAGAAAACATCGTGACTTTCTGTCATAACCTGAAACAATTTTGCGTCCCTGACCTGTGCACGGGATCCGGTGCGAAATCGGCACCTTTGTCGAAGGAGACCGATCCTTCTCGGCGAACGTGGAGTTCTCCATTTTCCCTGTTTCAGAAATATCCTCAGCAGCTTAATTTTTATCCCGCTTTCGAATCCCAGTGTAGAAATCACAGCTTTGTGACTCCCATCGCAATCAGTCCCGGGAAATGGAGACCGGCTTTGGATGGGAGGAGCCAAGGAAAGAGCTTTTGCTCTCCGGAAATGTCGACATCCTGGGATGTTGTGCCCAAGAGATATGGGAATAAAAACGGGCGAGAAAGACATCATTTTCCTCAAGTCCCCCAACTGCCTGGGGGTCACATCACGAACAGGAAGACCTTCGCAGGGCACGTTCTAGTTCTCCTTCGAGGGCTTCCGGGATCGGGCAAATCCTATTTAGCAAGGTAGGTTCTACGTACAAAAGATTCAGAAATAGGACGTGGCTGCGTTTTTCTTGCTCCCACACAGGAGCATCGTTAAGTTCTATCAGTATGCCAGATTCCCTTCCGACCATATAACATAGTATCATCTTTATTGTCATTGTACTTAAATACAACGAAATTGGTTATATAAATATGTAGGTAGTCCTCAACAGCAATTCATTTGGTAACCGTTCAAAGTTACAAGGGCACCTGAAAAAGAATAACATTTTTTCGCACAACTGTTGCGGTCTCTCCATGGTCATGTGATCAAGAGCCGTGATGGTGCAGTGGTTAGAATACAGTATTGCAGGCTGATTCTGCCCACCACCAGCAGTTTGATCCTGGCTGACTCAGCCTTCCAGCCTTCTGAGGCCGGTAAAATGAGGTGCCAGATTATTGGGGGCAAGAAGCTGACTCTATAAACCACTTAGAGAGGGCTATAAGCACTGCGGTATATAAGTCTAAGTGCTATTGCCTGCCTATTCCTTCCCTCCGTCCCTCTCTCCCAGTGGTTAGAATGCAGTATTGCAGGCTAATTCTGCTGACTGCCAGCAATTCGATCCTGACCGGCTCAAGATTGACTCAGCCTTCCATCCTTCCGAGGTTTGTAAAATGAGGAGCCAGATTGTTGGGGGCAAGAGGCTGAATCTGTAAAACCGCTTAAAGAGGGCTGTGAAGCGGTATATAAGTCCAAGCTCTATGGCTATCAAAACCTGGACACTTGGCAACTGACTTGTACTTACAACAGTTGCAGTGTCACTTTTGCGACCTTCTGACAAGCAAAGTCAATGGGGAAGCCAGAACCGCTTAACAACCATGTTAATAACTTAACAACTACAGTGATTCACTTAAAAACCGTAACAAAGTTTTGATGAGTTTCATAAAATTCGGCAGAACTCGCTTAACAAATGTCTCGCTTAGCAATAGAAGTGTTGGGCTCAAGTGTGGTCTCAACTCATAGCTCTCTCTATTCATTTACTCAATGTAGAAGCCAGGGATCCCCTTCAGTTCGTAATTAACTCTCAAGTGAGAAGCGTGGCCTGTTAACGCAAAGCATGCAATTTTAAAATGATTGCTGGATTTCCTGACCATCTTTTGCAAGGGCTGAGATCTTTTAGTTCGTCTGTGGCATGATGGCAGCCAGGCGTGACCCCTGAGTTGTTCGTAGGGTATCTGCAGCACCAGAGTGGGCAGAGGAACCCCTAGTCACACCTGGGCCACTTTCAGGAAGGTTTCAGGCCTGGATAGTGACGGGGAGAGGCACAATACTTTGCTGATTTATGTCTTTAGTCCAGGACCAATGTCAGTCAGCCCGTGGCGTGTGGGGGTGCTGTATGGCTCTCCTCACTCCTTATTAGCACCTACACAAAGTTGCTGGATGAGATTGTCCGTCATTACGGAATGAGGAGTCATTCCATAATGACGGACGGTCAGGAGCATATCCTCAATATGCTCCTGATATCCAGATGTATATATCTGCATATTTCATTAACAGAGGGAATAGAATCAAGATCGTGTGAATATTTAATACCACTTTATAATGCCTCGATAAGGCCACACTTGGAATCCTGCATCCAGTTTTGGTCGCCACAATGAAAAAAAAGATGTGGAGACTCTAGAACAGTGTTTCTCAACCTTGGCAACTTGAAGATGTCTGGACTTCAACTCCAAGAATTCCCCAGCCAGCATTCGCTGAGAAGAGCAACAAAGATGATTAGTGGGCTGGAAGCTAAAACGTATGAAGAACGGTTACAGGAACTGGGTATGTCTAGTTTGATGAAAAGAAAGACTAGGGGAGACATGATAACAGCATCCCAATATCTCAGGGGTTGCCACAAAGAAGAGGGAGTCAACTTATTCATATTAGATTTGGATTTGCCCAGTCAAAAGAAAATAAGGCGTAGAGGTGATACGATAGCAGCCTTCCAATATCTCAAGGGTTGACACAATGAAGAGGAGGTCAATTTATTCTCCAAAGCACCTGAAGGCAGGACAAGAAGCAAATTGGTTGCTGAACAATTTTGTGCACAAGTGTGGCAAAAACCAAATCAGTTTGTGAATTCTCCAGGCTTAATACACCTTTCGCCCTGTAATCCCAAATAAGCAGGCCCACACTGCCCATTGAATTAGTATATTTCTGTTGGTTAAAATTGTTCTTTATTTTAAATATTGCATTATTTCATCGTTTTTTGCACTATAAATGAAGATATGTGCATAAAAAATTGTTTTTTTTTCCAAACTATAGTCCTGCCCCCAACAGTCTGAGGGACTATTATCCCTCCTTAATTCACCATTGGAGGCTGTGTGTGTTGTGTGTGTGTGTGTGTGTTGATTCTCGCCTTCTTCCACCTGCTTCCAATGTCTCTCAGTGCCCATATAGGGGTTTTTAGTTGCGGTCTTAATTGGTGCAGTTCTCAGTCTGGTTTATTGTGTGGTCATCTGAAACATGGAGGAGTTATTTTGAAGGAAATCCTGTTTGTTTTATTCTTTTTTAAATGGCCTATTTTAAGGAGCCTGAAGCTGCTGTTGTAATGAAGTTAGACAAGTGACAAGAAAGTTTGTGCTCTTTTTCCCTTTGGAGGGGGAGTCTTAAGTAAATACCATATTTTTCGGATTTTAAGAAGCACCTTTTTCCTGTAAAAAAGAGAGTGAAAATCTGGGTGCGTCACTGAATACAGCATTCTTGGCCTCCTGAAACCCCGTCCCTTCACCAAAATGGCCGTGCATTGCCTTTAGGAGGCTTCCAGAGTGCTCCTGGGGCTGGGGAGGGTAGAAATGAGCGAAAAATGGGCCATTTTTTGCTCAATATTGCTCCCCCAGCCCCCAGGAGCACTCTATAAGCCTCCTAAAGACTATTCATGCCCTTTTTTTTGAGAAAAAATGGGCCCGTTTTCACCCCCTGTTCAAAAAGTTTGAGGACCCCGGGTTTAGGGTTTCCTGCCCAAGCAGGGAGTTGGACTAGAAGCCCTCCAAGATTACTCTATTCCTTGATACTATTTTTTATGCTTTTATTGTAAACCGCTCATAATCCCTTAGACGAGATGGGCAGAAATGTAATCAATAAAATAAATGATAAATTACGGCCAATATAGTCCCAGTATATGACCGCCGATGAACGCATGGCTTCCCTTACTACATCAAAAGACGGTCACGGGTGATTGTAGTTCTTTTCTGAAAGATCTGAATAGTGAGAGTCACGAGGACGAACGATGCCCAGGTTTCCTTTCACATGATTTGTAGAAGTCCAGAAGAACGTGTTGTGGGGGTAAAAAAAGATGAAGAGTTGTGTTTATCATTTTTCACAGGGTTTTGCTTGAGGATAACTGTGGTGGGATCATTCTTAGCACAGACGACTATTTTTGTCAAAAGAACGGGCACTACCAGTTTGATGCCGACTGCTTAGCAGACGCACACGAGTGGAATTGGAGACGCGGTAAGAATTCAATGCAGCAGAACGTGTCCTGAAGGGATATTGTCTTCGCCATAGGCGCATCTTAACACATCTGCAAAATTAGACCGTTTTAGATAAAATGGACATACATTTTCTGTCCCTGTGCCCTGTATAAGTTGAAAAACCCATCCCCAATGAATCATACATGGCACTGAACTAGCAAATATATTAAAGCAGGGGTGTCCAAATTTGGGAACGTTAAGACTTGTGGACTTTAACTCCCAGAATTCCCCAGCCAGCTATGCTGGCTGGGGAATTCTGGGAGTTGAAGTCCACAAGTCTTAACGTTCCCAAGTTTGGACACCCCTGTATTAAAGTAAGGAAAAGCTGTCCCTTGAAGAGTATTTGGAAGTTTCACTTGGTGCACAATATGGAGGTACGGACAATTATGAGTACCAGTCATTCAGGACATGTGACACGTGAATTACATTGGTTACCAGGGTGGAATTCAAGCTGGATGGTGGATCCTTCCCTTCTCCACCGCCCAGTCACAGCTGAAAAAGTTTCTTGGATGAGAAGTGAAATGCCTTCAAAGAAAAACAAAGGAAGTCCAGGTGCCTCCTGAAAAAAGCACCTTTGGGGACTTAATTATGGAACCATCTCTCCCATAAGGTGGTGTCTCTTCATTCTGTCAGATCCTGGCAGGAGATTCCTGTCTGTGAGAGAATGCCATCGAGCACTGACAATGTTACCTACCGTGTTTCCCTGAAAATAAGACCTAGCATGTTTTTCCCTACCCCCAAAATAAGCCCTACTTAAGTGCCTGGGCAGCCGGGTGCCCATTCTGTCTGGTTGCTTGCGGTGCTCTTAACACTAGGTGACTCAAGGGGAGGGGGAGCTGCCCCATGCGCACACTGGCTTACCTCAGAGCCCCCACAACCAGGCCATGCATGCTGTGACAATTGCCTCATGGTGACAGCACCAGCAACTGTGTGCAGCAGGAACCCACGTGGCCGCTGGGCCACTTCAGCTTGCTCACAGCCATAATGAGCAACATACCAGTGCTGGCCATGAGGCCGGCAGGTGTCGGCATGAACGGCCTGGCTGCAGGGGCCCTTAGGTAAGGCGGTGCAGGGTGCGTGGGGCAGCTAAACAAAAATAAAACCACCCCTCCCCTGAAAATAAGCCCTAGTGCCCATTTCGGAGCCCAAAAGAAAATTAAGACCGGGTCTTATTTTTGGGGAGAAACTGTAGTTTAGTAAAGAAACATTTGTAAGAAAATCACCAAGCTCATTACAAGGGACCCTGCAGAGTGTCATCTGTTGAGTCTTGTTTGGCCCCCCATGGTACCAGCCTTCCGGAACATTATTCCACAACCTTTCCCAAATTAGACTTGCCCTAACC